GAAGATTTTCCGGACGCGATTTTATCGGTAAAATCTACTAGGAATAATGGATATTATGGAAGAATGAAAGAAATACTGGACCAATTAATAGAAGAGGAAAGTAAAGGAGCAATAGCTGTCTCAAATGGTGAGTCTATTAAATTAAATTATTTTTTTTTGTAAACAAATTGTTACAAAATATTTTTTTCTGAATTTGTAATTCATTTCTATTTTTATCGAAATGTCTTATATTCATTAGTGCAAACAAGTCCAATTTTTAAAAAAACATTTTAAATATTAGGTTTATAAGGTTTTTTTAATGCATATTTATAAAATACTTTGAAATATACAGAGTATTCAGTTACAACGCGGCAACTTCAATGTCGATTTTTTTAAATGACTTGCCCCATACATTTTTTTACCATTGATTTCAGCGTAAGATGTAATGTACATTACCATTTTTTGTATTCTACCACGATGTATATACTATATAAAAATATGAGAATTTACTAAAACATTGTTTAAATTTGGTATTGACATTTAGAGTAAAACTTTTGGTAAATGCAAAGATATTGGTTAGCTGAAACGTGTGATAAGATCAAACGTATATTTTCATTTATACGGGATGTTATACAACGATATTTACTTGCCATTCTTTAAATATCTAAAACTTCGTTTTTTTTTTAATTAAACACCCAGTATATTATTTGTTAGAAGCAATTCATTATTCCATCAAATGGTAATATTATAATATAGGCTCTAAAAGTACTAGTTTTTGATAAATTTGTATCTTATTTAATAACCTAAAAATAATACGCCTTCTTCTAGACTTTGACGAGAGGTAAACATGTATATCCATTGTCTTATTTTACTATAATTAAAATACAGATACGCAAATCGTTTAAAATCGTATTAAAAATAAGGTGTTATTAAAACCCATGCTCCCAGCTCTCACTAATAAGGTGAACGCCTCTGCTGAATTTCAGCTCTTAATTTCTATTTGACTAGTTGTAGATTTTTTTTAATATTTAATTTTACGTTTTGCCAGACAGTTTTTACAGTGCATCGTAGGTGTGGTGCAAGTTGTTACGTTTGCGAAAGATTATTTGGTAAATTGGTGTTTGGTGCTGACTATCCAAAAATTTAATTATAATAAGGACGAATCAATTATTGATAAACAAAAAACAAAATATTTTGAAAATATGGAGAATTGAACATTTATTTATAGGATTTTTTTGCTTGAACTGAGCTCAGTAATATATTTAAGTTAGTACAGTACGTCGTGTAACACTTTATATACATTAGAAAAATATCTGTCTCTACTCTACTTGGAAAAGTATACACCTAAATTAGAATGATCTAGTGAAGAATTCAGGATTTTGTAGGGTGAAATATGCATAATGAAAAACACTGCAGCATGCAGTATTTTCAGATACAGTTTGTTTTGATTGGCGTGTGTTGGAATAGAAGATGATTGTCATTGGTTGATCTATTATAGTGTTAAATAATCATGTTAACAAGAGACTCGCGAAACTTCGAGACGAAATATATCCTAATGCCTGGCTTCGGGGCTGTGCAAACGTTGTCCTAATCCGTATAATGACGTCACATTTATTATTTTTGGATAGGGGTGTACCATCACCTTGACTTCCGGCATTATATGGTAATATTGGCTTTCTTATAAGTTCGATAGTTGAACTGTAAAAGAGTTTTTGTTTGAATTTACTTATGGTTGTCATTCCTGATAAAACTAGAAAAAAAACATAGTTGACCTTGTATGTATATTCGTTGTGTTAGTCTGTAATTATTGTGTGCTGCTATTTTACTAGACTGGACGGTGTAGTGACTCAGACGTACTACATACCTTGCTACCTTAGAAAGTCACCCACTTATCACCTTTTTGGCAACCCTTCAATTCGTGGCAGTCCTAGTATGACAAAGGTTAAACTCATCTCCTAAGCAACTTCGATGAATTAATTATCATCACGTCTTTTAATTTTTAAATTTTATACTGACCTGTCACTTACACTTTGAATTAACATTTACTTTTTCTACACCCGTATTATAATAATGCTCTTATATGCCCATAATCCGTTTCATAATGATACCCATCATGATACAGCTTTTTCATAATGATACAGATTTTTAATCAATAGAAAACCATAAATTTTCAAATCAAGCATGCCTTCGGCTCGTTTCGTATCCCGGTTAATGCTCCTGTATTATTAACCATCATCACATGATCGTTGCATAACATACTCTTATACACCTCCAACGATAATTATTTTATTTGATGAGATAAATATATTTAAAGATCTCACACTGGTGCCCCGATAGAACAACTGTAGGAGCCCCGTGCTCTACATAACTACTATCCTTCGAGTCACTTTGACGTCACATAGTTCTTGTTTTGACGAGCTTCCATTTTGTCATTTTGACGTTTTGTTTTATTATGGAAATGGTGCTTTAGAATGTTTCAGAGGATGACACATGCTGAGTTCGGGGTTCGATTGGAAAATTCAGAGTACAGTTTGCGTAGAATTAAATTTTGGTCACGTGACATCGGAGTTGTGTTTAGGGGTTTGGAAATAATTATTAAAAAAACAACCCTATTTTTGGGTTTGTCGTTGAAAGAAATTATTTAATAGGGATTGTAAAATTTGCAGTAAAAAATTGTTTTGACGATGACCAGGGAAAAAAATATAATTTTACTGTGACGGCCCACCCCCAGTACCCCATTTTATTCGTTGCTTTACTTTTTAAAATGTCATTATTTACCTCACAATTTTATTTTATTTTAAGTTATATACTTACTGTATTTGGCCTTTTTCCTCTAGTAGTAGAAGTGATCGTCTAGTTAATTTATTGATAAAATTTATATACCCACGTTGTGATAATGTTAATTATAAACCAGGATTCGATGCAAAGTTTGGTGCAAATTAATAAATAAAACATACAAATTCATATTTAAACTCTTTTATTTTTCATACTTTAAATGTGATGCAATAATTAGTAAAGTATATTACAATTGGTACTATTTACTGAGTCCCATTCAAACGCAGACCATATTAATTTGCTATCAATATATATTTTATTTAGGTTGATGACCAACGGAGTTAACGAACAGCGTCAATTCGCCAGTTGGTTAACTACTGTGTTGATGTTTATATTCATTCTTATTTAGGTTGATGACCAACGGAGTTAACGAACAGCGCCAATTCGCTAGTTGGTTAACTAATGTGTTGATGTTGATTTGATTCTATTCTAAATATACACAGGTTGCACCATCTTAGGTAAATATTAATTCGCCAGTTGGTTACCTTACTATGTTGATTTTACATATACTATGTTTCAAACCTAATAGAATGGGTGGCTTAGCATATATGTGTCTCCCCTTGAGCTAACGAACAGTGTATTCACCAGTTGTTTAACTTACTGTTAAATTTTACCATCTCTGTTTGTACAATTTATCCAAGATAGCACATCCCTGTATATTTCTAAAATATTTTTTATAATTTCTATTGAAATAACTTAATACAACCCTGTATATTTTTTAATATTGATTATTATAATTTCAATTGAAATACTCAATTTCACCTATTGAAAACAAATGACTAACCTAACTGTCTTTCGGGGTATAGGACTAAAGGCCATATGGTTTATTGGTTACATTGATAATATTTTGAAGAAAATATCAGGCCATCGTCTAAACGATCCCTGTGGTATCTCAAAGAAAGTTACATAAATCTTTTGACTCGCCATTGAAAATACAGACATTAGATTATGTACTAATTTCATCTAGCGTTGTGACGACGTCGATTTAGATACGTCGCAGCGTTGAGCGTCGAGGCGCCTAGCGTCGTGGTGGAAAGGAAGGTATTTAATACGGTAGGTACTGCATTGGGACAGATATACGGTAGAAATATTTAGGTGGTGCGGGACGTGACAAAAGGTGTCGATAAGGATATTATGAAGGAAATATTTAGGAACGACAAGCGTCGGGAAATAAGGCGTGGAACGTTGACAGCGTTCGGGGGATAGGAGATATTGTAGGATAGACGTTGTTTAGGAAGAGCGTTTTAGGAAAGGTACTGACTAGTGAACTTGAAATATAACTGGATACAAATAAAAATGAATGAATCCGAGCTCATTTGGGTTTGGGTTCATATACTCGTTTTAATGGCTTTTTGTGACATCTCAGTTTCTCTTAGTTCCGCGTGAACAGGGTGGATAGAAAAGGGGTGGTCGATTTATTACTTGCCTCGAAAAATTTGTGCATCGAAACAACGTTACTATTCAAACGGACTTAAGATAAGTGCGTTAAGTGTTTACTTGGCCTGGGTTCCGAGACACGTGCACGAAAATTGGATCTCTTACAGACAGGGTTATAGATATTATTTATTAGGTGTCGTAAATAAGATTCAATTATCTTGGAGATTTTTCGTTAAATGAAGGATTTTGAATTTAATAAGAATGCAATATTCTATTTAATAAATGGAATTATTAATTATTAAGATACCTGGGCGAGGTAGGCTACAGCCTTGAGGATTGCGTTTGCTAGTTTGGTTGTCTCGTTTTCTAGAATATTTACAATTTATTTCTGTTGTCATCCAGAGTTATTCTGTACCTTCACCAGTTTGTGTTTTTATAGTCTAGGCGCATGGTCTGTGTCCTTATGACTTTGTGGTTCGTTTACAGTTTAATGTACATCCAGAGTACGGGCAGTGAGTTGTTGCATCCGTGTAGTGTATTTTGTAATTATACGTGTCGGCGAATCCGTCCAAAACTCTTCCACAAGGGTTGTGTGAGACAGTTTGCGTTCCAATTGGCGGTAATAATTAAAACAATATATTAAAATAGGCTCCCAAAACATATTTAAACTATATCAAATCCTCTATACCTTTGTAGCTTTTCTGGAGAAAGTAAGATGGCGCTCATGCACTAGGTCATACTAACGATTTAAACCATTATGTATTAAGTAGTCGCAAAGAAAGGTAAATCATAAATAAAACAAAGAAATATTTCATGAAATTACTATATTTATATGAAGTGGATTAATGAATTAAAACATCTCACTAAAAGTCTATGGTTAAACATCAACAAAACTTATCGTAAGTATTCAATTGAAACAATCTAAAAATCTATTACACAGTAATCACATTCAGATAAATATCACAAATGGAGAAGACCCCACTACATTACTTGGCTCCACATGAGAATTTCATAACAACTCTCATTTTGGTATACAGAATTACCATCTAATTACAAATATCCAACTTTTAGATCAAACAGAGATAAAGCTCTAAGTTGTTGGTAAATACAATCGAGAGAATATTTTGCGATGGACGCATTTCAAAATGGCGACTTAGAGTCGTTCTTTGATTAGTTGAAGTCAATAATTCTATATTTGAAGATTGACGGAATGAAAATCATTTAAATAAAGCTAAAAAAATGGCATTTTCTCACCAAAACTCCAGTTTGATATATGACGTAAAAATGTAATGCAAAGAAGTTAATATAACCAAAGAAATAAAGTTTTCAAATGACAAAAAATGTTTAATTTCCAAATGTCAAAATTGAAGTTAAAAAAATTTTGCTACAAGCTTGTAGCTGTATAATATCCGCTTAATAGACCATGAAAATAAATCCACAAAGGTGTAACTGATAGATGACGATTTGTAAAAATAATCATGGTAGTAAAGAACTTTTGAACTTAAAAAAAAAAATCAAGATTTTGGTTTATTATCAATCAAGTGAAACTATTACTGTTCTTTTCTTGTTCTTTACACCTAATGGTTTTTATTGGGTATTAGATGTTGGGACTTCACAAACCCAAACCACATTGTAATTTTATTACCTAAACTCCAAGAAAACCACTAGCAAGTTTTTTAGACATCCAATTTTTAATTTATTCTGGTCCCTTTAATATTATTTAGTGAGTTTATACCTCAGAACGTATAAAAATACATTTTATTGACTTTATATTAAAATCAAAAATGCAGTCTTCTTACTGACCGATAGGGGTAAAATTGGAACAACTTCATCTCTTCCAAAGACGAAAAAAATGTACTGATATTAGCATTTACTTTTCTGAGCAAAGTGCAGTTTTTTTGTCCCCTAATTAATGTATACAATTAAAAACTTTGATAAATTCTTTCCCAAGACTTGCATCGTGACAGCTCGGGTAGTTTCATCTCCTGTATTTCCCAGAAAATCATATTAGGCATTCAAACAACCTGTCGAAATGCTGCCAGTGGGTAATGACAGGTTAAGATATGGCAACCCTATGGACCTATTAGCTTTGACAGGGTCAATGATATAGATATATAGATTGCTTAAAGCGAGTGGCATTGCGAGCTGTCATATTGCAAGTGTTCATTAATCAGAATAGGTTTAGCAGAAATATGTTTCAAAACCAGTTTTCATCCTTTGAATGTAGTAAACAAAATAATTACCTACATTTTTACTTCAAGTGTTTATTTTGAAAAGCATGGATGATCAATCTATATATCTATATCATTAACCCTATCAAATCACCAGGCCCACAGTGTTGCCATATCATAACCTGTGATTACCCACGTGCAACCATTTCATCTAAAATGCCTAATAATACAAAATAAGACGCTCTATTAGTGTGATGTATTTAGCCTTCTTCTGATAGTTAACTTTTAACAAAAACAAATCATTCTGTCATTGAATTTGACATATACGGTTTTAGTTTTTGTTAAATAGTGTTTGCAAATGGTAAAAAAGTAAAGGTATGTAACCAAATTATTTTGTAACCAATGATTCTGTCACTTGTCAGTGGAACACAAATTACGTCAACACTAATCTAGCGTATTTTTTATAGTTTTTAGTGACAGCTGAATCCGAATATTTTAGGCTGTTTTTAACTGTCACTTAAGCATGTTAAACTTTCAGTAATCGGAATAATTGAACACTAAAAGTGTCGTTTTGAATTAAAAGAGCGAATGGAGCTCTTCAAAACGATCAAACGCTATTGAAAACACCAAATTCAAGTCGGGTAGTATTAAGTAACAAATAATGTATAAACAAAGGTCTGATAACTCTGTATACCGAAATAATCATTGGATGACTTGTACTTTACATTAGTTATGAAATCCTTTCACAATTCGTTCAGTTCATCGCAATTTGTACTTTTTGCATCAAATATGATTGTTTTTGCGAAATCAAAAAATATAATAGGCTTCAAACAGTACTGGAGGAAAACAAACAGAAAATTTGGGGAATTTAAAAACATACAAATGGCCGAATGTTGTTTCAAATAAATACACAAAAAAATTTGAATCACAGCATTCTGTTTAAAACAATAATGGATATTTTTTTACAAAATATAACAAATTATTACAATTAAAAAATGTTTCATTTCGTACATTCAAACGAATATATAGAAGCATAATGTTCTGTATAAAGTGAAAAATTAAAACCAATCGGCATATTGTTGAGAACTATTTTTAAAAATCAGTTGATAAAATATATAAAACAATTAATCGTTAAAATTGTACAATGGCCAATAATTTTAATAATATTTTGGAGTCAAATTTTTTACATCACGTAATTTTAAGTTTCAATTTTAAGAAATACATTAAAATATAAACATAACCTAGATGATAAAGTGAAAAATTTGAGGTTCAAATAGCGCGCATTAAATTTTACTTTTTATTTTCAAAATTTATTTTAAAATTATATGATGTAATTTCTAGATAGTAGATCGAAGGCAAAGAAGCAACATTTGAATATTTAATAGATATTTGTTAACCTGCATTATTTCTTATTTTTAACAGTGCAAACCGATTACAATTTCACCACCAATCATTTAAAGAGTGTCATATTTATGAATTTACACCACATTGAGAAGTTAGTGTTTAAATTTTGATTACTGATGCCTACTTTTAAAGTCCAATGACGTCATTACGTAGAAATGTTTGGCTGTGAAAGTAAAGTCATCGCAAAGACTGACACTGTCAGTTATTCTCGCTTTGAGAAATTAATTAGACATTTTAAACCTTTGTATGCATAACGTCACATTTAAGTTATCAGTGAGATGCTTTTTGCTGCCAATCTAATGACAGTTATGTTTATAATCGACTAATTATAAATTTCTCTAGTTCCGATATTTTTTCATGTAAGACAATTTGACAACGCTGCTTCAAATAATAAAATGACATGTCGCAGCACATAACCTCAAAAAAATTATAATTAATATTATGCACAGTGCAATGTGTCAAATTTTCAGAGCCACCAAAAGATCAAATAAAAAAAACGAAATATAGGACGACCATGCCAGAATTTATTATAAATTAACAATAGGTTTTCTCAATAAAATAAATATGTTCTTGTAGATTCCAAAGATGCCATTTTCTACTTGTGTTTGAATAAAATCAACAAAAGTAGATAACAATAAGCAATGCCATTAATAAAAAAATAATTTTTTGTTCCATCAACTACTGTTCTGTGCAGATGTCTAAACACTGACATGTCAGATTTAGGCTGAGTTCATAAAGATAGAATGAACGATATAAAAGATATAAACAATAGTTTGGGATATGACCGATGGACGCACGTGATGGAAGAGTGTAATCAAAATGGCGACTTTGAGTCGTACTTTGATTTATTTGAAGATCGACGGAATGAAAATGTTTTTGTATCATTTAAATGAAGTCATTTAAAAAAATGGCATTTGTTATTATCAAAATCGATTAGCTCGAGTTACGAATTAGTTTGACACATGACGTAAAGCTGTAATTCAAAAGTAGATAACAAGCAATTCCATTAATAAAAAAACAAATTGTGTACCGTCAACTATTGTTCTGTGCAGATGACTAAAAATTGACATATGTCAGATTTAGGCTGAGTTCATCGAGATAGAATGGACGACATATGCTGCGTTTGAATATCCACTTCGGATGCATTTGAGATTTTGCGAATTTTTTATCACGTGATAGAGGATTAGATTTAAATGTAGATGTAATAAACAAACGCTCTAGTCTTTATTGGTCACGTGATAAAATGACAAGCTATTTAAGAAAATGGCATTTCGCACATTCGGTGCAACAACGTCGTAAGTGCAAAAATATTGAAAAGTAATCTGCTTCTACATCTGGTACAGCATTGTGGCAAATATACCATACATTAAATATTTTGACTTTCAATGCATTTCAGTTTAGGACAACCAAAACTTTCAAATGGCCCCATCTAAAAACTAGATTTTTGCACTTACGACATTGTTTCACCGAATGGACGATTTGTTATCACCAAAACTGACTAGCTCGAGTTAGTTTGACACATGACGTAAAGGTGTAATGCAAAGGTCTATCTAAATGGCTGAGTTTAATGAAAGTGGGTGTTTTGTTGTGTGTTTTAATGGTACACTACTTTACAAGTTGTGGTGAAGACATATTTCTTTATATACATTATGATTGGTTAAATATTTAAATGTTACTTCCTACTTTGTAGCTTTTTAAATTTTCTCTGAAGGTGCTTTTTACGGTAATTTAATAAAATGATTTTTTGCTATTGCATCAACTTTTTAAGCTATATGGCAGTGAAATTATACTAAAAAAACTAACATTAATACTGAGATCAAGACATATAATTTGGGGGGTTTACAGCAATAAATTTACCAAGTTGTAGGGTACGATTTTTTTTGTAGGTTATCATTTTGTTATTATTTCAATACTTGATGTAAATAGTTCGTTAGTGAATAGTTCTCTTGTAACTTAGTTATTTCTTTTCACTGTATGATATTTTTGATGTCAACTAGGCGCTATATCGATTTTTTTTATATATCAGTCGTATGGTGAAAATTGGAAAAATATAATCTATCATAACAGCTAATTTATGCTCATCACTCTATGTTTTCAGTGGATATATACTTCTTAATTTTTAATAAATAAAATATATAAAATGGCGTTGCCTTTTCATTGGGTCAGCTTTTACCAATGAGTTTCCAGTATTCAGAAATCGATTCCTTAAGTATCGATTATAAGAATCGATACAATTTAGAGAATGGAAATGTGAATTTTAAAGTTTCTACACTGGTAACTCTTTATTAAATTAAAACTTTTGAAAAAAGATTGAATTCAGTAGTGGCAGGATTTGGTGCTATGCTTCGACTTAAATAATGTTTTATTTTTTTTTTAATCTCTGCCCTATCGAAAATGACTATTTCGAAAAAAAAAAATGGAAGGATTTCTTCGCTCATCGTATCTTCGTCAATACACACAAATGGAAGTCGTTTGCGGCGTTTTAAATTCAGTTGGGATTATAAAAAATATTTTTCAGAGAGCACCGACTTCCACTATAATTAATAAAAAACATATTTTATTTACATAATGTACAATAATATTAGAATGAGATATACCCGCAGCCTGTTTGCCAAAAAAGATAGAATTTAATTTCTTTCAAAATTTTTTAAGTCGGAACGCTGCAAACATCATCATTTTGAAAGTTGGTAGCATTGATGAGTCAAAAAAGGATTGTTTACAATGAGTTATTTCGTTCGCTGTTGGTGCAGTGTCCACCAATGTCAATTACACCACCTTATTTACCTAGTTTACTTCCTCCTTCTTCCTTATACACATGTCGAGTGTAATTCACTCCTACTAAATAGCTGGTGGAGAAAATATCCACCAGTGGACAACCATATTGCCGACAGGAAGGTGTAGTGGATTTTACATCGAACCAAACGAAAGGTTTAGTGTACGTTGGTGTAGTTCATTCCTCTACCAATGGGACTAACAAATTAACCTAATGTAAGAAGTTACAAAAAATCTGACCCTTCTTTTTAAAAATAGGCAGACTTAAAGAGCAGAGAGAAAAAATATGATTCAGTTTGAGGTTCACATTTCTAAACAAAAACTGACAAGTGACACATGACAGAATTGACAACGAAGACAAAGCGGAACAAATTGAGAAAACTGATAATAACGGGACACAAGAAAAAAAATGAAGTTAGTTTTTATTATAAACAGATCTGCGACTCAAAAAGAATAAGTCAAAAAATGTTTAAGGAAAATCATTGTTTAAAACGTCAGAAGTTTTCGAAAAAATCTGACCACAATTCGTCTTTGGGAACAAGCCGACTTTAAATGAATAAAAAAAAAAAATGACGGAACACATTTCTAAACAAAAACTGACAAGTGACATAGTATGTCAAATTTCTACGTCAAAATTGACCGCAAGACAAAGAGGAATAAATTGAGAAAACCGTGTGAAAAGAACGGGACATAAAAAAAGAATATCTCGAAAAATGTTTGAAAATATTCAAATTCTATAGATTGTTTTTATCCATTAAACAGACTGGGGGCGGTAATATTTCTGTTCAAATTATTTACAGGTGCGATTACATATTTAATATGCATTTGATAAACTTTTCCACTGATTTCCTTTTTCATATATATATCAACTAACCTGCAGTAGAAAAAGCTTAGAATTATATAAAAAAAAATTATTAACACAACGATCAAAATTAGAAAAAACCTAGGTACCTTAAACACTGAAAATACAATATACCACATGAAATTTAATGTCTTGTAGAATAATAATAACACTTAATTATTATGCTTACAATTAATAAAAAAAAAACGTTTTTTTTTTTTGTAGAATTGCGCATTACCTTGCTTCACATCATCATTGGAGGGTTTGTAATGCCAATCCAATATATATAGATATATATTTTCACTTGTAATATTACATTTCTTTCGTTGAAATGAGATATACATATAGTGGAATTCGAAAAATATCTGTTTCGTATCCAAATTTATACTGTCCCTTTTTATATGCTTCTAATTTGTCATGTAGCGATTTACAGTCCTTAGGGCGTACAAAAGCTCGGCCTGCATCCTGGATTCCAGGACCATTAGGTTGACGTGGACCTGCAACGAAAGATAAGAATGTGCTAACAATGAACCACGGAGCATGACAGTTATTATAGGAGTTTCAACTAGGATCAAATTTCATATAAAAACAAAATAAAATTATGTCTCTAACATGAGGATAGTTCTAAAAAATCTACCAAGAATCGTTAGTTAATGATGTACCAGTTTGACCATTAAATAGATAGAAGGAACATAGGATGTTTTAGGTTTCAACCTCAACTTCTACTGTTTAAGATATGTACTGTTTAAGAAAAGTACTGTGTAAGACAAATAATGTTTAAGATATTTACTGTTTAAGCCAAGTACTGTCTAATGCTGAGTCCACACTGAGCGCTATGCTATGTTCACTACGTTCGCTACATAACATAACATAGCGAACGTAGCGTCTTACATCTATGTGGCCACGTCCGTTTATAATAATGGGAGATATTTTTAATGGACGTAGCGAACATCGCACTCTGTGTGGCCGCAGAATAAGAGATGTACTGTTTTAGACAAGTACTGTTTAAGATAAGTGCTGTCTGGATACTGTCTTTAAGATACAGTATTATACATATATGTACTGTTTTAATAATACTAATAATAATAATAATACTCTCCCTAAGACAAGTGTTTAAGATATGTACTGTTTAAGATATGTACTGTTTAAGATATGTACTGTTTGAGAAAAGTACTGTTTAAGGTATGTCCTGTTTGGTATAATGTGTTTAAGATACAGTACTATATATACTTTTTAAGATCTGTACTGTTTAAGATATGTACTCTTAAAGACAAGTACTGTTTAAGATATGTACAGCTTAAGACAAGTACTGTTTTAAGATATGTACTATTTTAAGATATGTACTGTTTAATATATGTAGTGATATGTAAAATCGACAGGGAAGTGCATAGCAAAATTTAGTTGTCGGTGTCAAAATTTAATTTAGCAAAGCTGGGGGCAACAAATTTTACGCAATACCAGTTATAGATGAAAAGAAACATGAGGAAGAGGAATTGATTACTATAGCAAGAAAGGAGTGCTGAAACTAAAGAAGCAGTTAAGATGGAATATTGGATGCAGTTGCTCTTTCTTAAAATCGATGAAAATGGTGAGGAATTGGATAAAAAAGAAAGGAAGAGAGGGCATTGATGAAGAAAATCGATAATATGGATGAAAGAGGTAAGAAAATGGAGAAGCAAATGTCTGAGAAGAGTAAGAGAATGGATGAGAATAGGAAACAAAATAAACAAGAAGTTTGAAGTACAAAGTACATACATACAAATAAGAAAATTGAAGTAACAAAGAAATATAAGAATAGAAATGGTAGGCAGAATAGATGAAGTAGAAAAAGATAAAGAAGAAATAATTAAGAAAGTATAGAAATAACTAGTGACGAAACAAAGAAAAGAAAAGAAGAAGGAAACAAGAAGAATATAAAGTAAATTAAAAAATAGAAGAAGGTTTAGAATTAAATAAAAAAGAAATAGAAGCAAAATAAATTGAAGTAAATATAAAAATTGAAGAGGTAAATGCAGAAGTAGAAGAGAAAAAACTAGAAATTAAAGAAAAAGAAGTTAATGTGAAGGAACAAAAGAAAATCATTGAAGACTTAAAGAATAAAATTAAAAAAAAACAAGTCGGAATAAAGAGAAATAAGAAATGTTAGCAAAGTGTGGAAGTATTGTGTAAATATAAAAGTAAAATTAGAATAAATTTAAAACAAATACAGGAGGATGAAAAGAAAATTAGAATTGTAAATAAAAATACAAGTAAAAGTAGAATAAAATTAAAACAGATGCAAAAGGAGCGTGAAAGGAAAATAATTAGAACTTAGAGAGAAAATGAGAAAAAATAATTAAAAATTTAGATGGAGGATGAAAATTTTTAATGTTGAAATTCTTAGAACACGAAAGTTGAATAGACACATTTAATAGACTATTAGATAGGTAAAGAATAAATACAAATAAAAGTTCTAGATGACATAAAAGAGTGAATGTTAGACATTTAAGACAATATCTTTTAGAGTGGGATGATTTAGATAGGAAACGTGTTGTACATATGAAGAGTATTATAGAGAAGAATTGTAGAAAAGTAAAATTATAAAGGAGATGAATAGTTAATGGAGTACAATGAAGGAGAATAGGTGTTTTTTTTTAATAAAAAGATTATAATGCAAAAAAGTGTATGAAATGGGAATAATTTAGAAAAGAAAAAATGTAAGGGGTACCTAATATGAGAAGCAAAAGTAAAGTTGAATGAAGATAATTAATGCACAGAATAAGTTAGATAGAATACAAATTAAGAGAAATATACAAAATGAAAGAAAAAGACAAATTTTATATAGATGTATAGTGAAAGATATCGAGTAGTGTATATGTAATAATAATTGTAGGTAGTTGTAGTTATAGTTGTATTTATAGTTGTAGTTATAGTTTAGTTATAGTGTAGTTATAGTTGTAGTGATAGTTGTAATTATAGCTGTAGTTATAGTTGCAATTATTGTTGTAGTAATAGTTGTATTTATAGTTGTAATAATAATAAAAAATTATAAAGTTCTAGTTGAAGTTGTATGAATTTAAGAACAAGGAAGGGGAAAATAAAAGATTTAAATTTATCAAAGATATAGAAATATAAAAATGTGTTTAAAATCATATTTGGGAAATATAATATTCATACACAAAATTTGGAGGACTTGACATGGAAAATCGCCAAGTAATGGAATCAAATTGTCAGTGTCAAAATTTAATTTAGTAAATTTGGACGGTTTGAAATTTAAAAAGACAATTAGGCATTTCAACGACCTGTCAAAATGCTGTCTGTGGGTAAAGAGAGTTTATGGTATGGCAACCCTGTGAGCCTGTTTGACAGGGTCAATGATACGTATATAGTTATATAGATTGCTTAAAGCGGGTCGTTTTGGGAGCAACCATATTATCATATTAGAATCGGTTTAGCCAGAAGGTGTTTTAAAACCAATTTTCAGCTTTTGAATAAAAAAAAGGCATGAGCCTATGTTTATTTTGAAAAACATGCATGACCAATCTATATAACTATCTATATCATTGAACTATGAATTTCCAGGCCCACAGGGTTGCCATATCATAGCCTGTCATTACCCAAGGGCAGCCATTTTATTTGGAATGCCTAATTGGAAAAATATATTAAATTTGTCATGTTTTTGGTTGTTAAAAGGGATGGTCAGTTGGATATTTTCTTTTTTAGAAATTTCAGGTTGGAAATATGAGATATGTTTTGAAATAAAGTTGATTATTGTTAAGTTGGGGGGAAGAAATAATGAGATTAAAGTTAAAAAGGTAAGAACATCTTTTATTTAATTAAAAGTTAAGCAGAGAGTGAAAGCAGAACAGAACCAGATAAGCAGAGCAAGAAAACAACACAGAAGTAGGAGGACAACTGAAGTTGTTAATAAAATTTATTTTGTTCTTTTTTTGTAATTTCATTTGATTTTATTGCAGGTTTGAACCCACAAGAGTCTATTATTTTTTTTTTATTAATTGAATTTCCATCTACTGTATTGTTTAAGATATGTATATTGTTTAAGATACTTCCTGTATACGATGTGCACTCTTTATAATGTGCTGTTTGCTGTTTAAGATGTGTATTGTTTAAACACGTTTAAAATATTGTGAAAATAAAACTATATTTCCATACAAACATTACATTGCCTTTGCCTTAATTTAGAAAAACTACTCCGCCATTTTGAAATCCGTTTTTGAAGTATTCCCGTAATCGGATTTTGTCTCATATTGGATATATTGTCAATGATTACTGATTTAGAATGCAATTTAAAAAGCTTCTATTACCCATTGCCTGAACTAATAATTATTTTTCAAAATAACAAATTAATGTCCATTTCCACAACAATTCCAAATTTTTCTTAGTTAATTATTGTATAGTATAAAAACGATGTAAAATACTAATTTGTCCAATTTGATTTGATGAAATATACATACAACTAAAAATGACAGTTCTACTATAGTTCTACTTTCGTATTGTCTACATGCAAAGATTCAGAAAAGGTTATGTGGTTGTATTGGTTTTCTCGTTATTCACTTTTTATTTTGTTTATTACATATAATAATTAGTAGACTTTAATAAATTACCATTATTTTAAAAAAATGTAGTAAAAGCTAAAATTAACTTAATATTTCTGACATCCCATAAATATTTGTTTTCATTTAGTACAGCATTTACTTACGATCTCTGGCGGATTTTTTTAGAACTATTCCTGCTTTAGGGCTATATTTTTCAGAGAGTTGAAACACCTATAATAACTGTCATTCATCGTGTCCAGAATATAATTTTTAGGTTAGATATAACAAAATAAAACTGAACACATGTCCCTTAATTTTTTAATATTTTTTCAAGGATAACCAACGATTTGCAAAAATAACAAAGTTTGTTAACCTAACTTTTTTATTACTGTTTGACTGTTATTATAAATTAAGGCAAATTTGTTAGTTGATTTAAAGATTTTAAAGGATGCCTCGTTGATTTGTAAAGAAGATGTGTAATAAAAATACATATTTATATACGTATTTTTAATAAATGTTAATTTTTGTCATTTTCAACCAAACAGAAAATAGCTGTAAAAATTGGTAAACAATATTACGTACAACTGACTCATAGTAATAAATAAACGTTGTCATAAAACAATCACTTTTGTTGTTTTTGCCAATCGTCTACCATTTAAAGTCACGTGATTTAGATTGCCTTATTGAAATTGGCCATTTTTATTCACAAACAAAAATACGTAAGTACTGATTTCAGTACATATATGCCGAAACGGCAACGCTGCTTCCTGTACTTTAGGCACCTAGAAAATCTCAACGAATTTTGACACATGACAGATGTCATTCTAGCCAAAAACTGCAGCTGTATCTAGAAGGTTTACCGAGTAGACGAAAATAGGATTCATATGCAAAAAGTTCACTTCACTTTACTTCTTGTGGTCCACCTTGCAAAAACATAAATAGGACCAAAAAATCGCAAAACCAAAACCGTGTAGATAAAATTCAAATCCATGAATCTCATAAACGATCACCAAGCCAAAAACTCTGGGCTCCTGTTAAGGGGTTTCATCTAACAAATAATCATCGAGCTCAGACGTTGCATTGACAAAATTGGGATCATCCTCGATCCAAAAGATGCGGTATAAATGGTACATTTAATAAAAAATCATAAAATAGAAATTTTATTAGTGATAGGACTGACAGGATCCATCTCTGGGATATTTATCTAGCAAATCATAAGGATCACCGACTGGCAAATTTGGGTTTTAAAAAATGGGACACGTGTTATTTTCTACCTTACAAATTATCATGGAGTCAAAAGGATACGAGTCTATTTTACTAGGGGTAGGGAATAAAATATTTAACATTTTTCCCGTTTAGTAAATACCAAGGAAGCTGAACAGTTAAGAATTCTCGCAAAATTTTACCCAGCCATTCTAAACATTCTAAAAAGCAGTACATAATTATTATTTTTATCGGTTACTACTAGAAATCAAGTTTTTAACCTTAAACGTCTATGTTAAATCCACTAACCACGTTTTAATTGACTTTTCGCAGCAGAATTTTCCTTGTCGTGTGACTTAGTTGCATAATTTCCGTGTCAACCATATGGCAACACTGTATTTGTAGAAACAACCATTAAATAACCTCAAAAATTGTTGATTACTGTATATTTAAGATAAATAAAAAATTATTGCTTTTTAGAATATCTAGAAGGGCTGTGAAAAGTTATTGCTTGAGGTTCCTTGGAATTTTCCTTTCGTCCTTCGTTCGATGTATTTTAAACATTTGTGTACGTGGAATTCACCTGAAAATCTTCCATTTCGGGGACCTGAAGCGAGACGACAAAATAAACTTATTACGATCTAATTCTAGAACAAATCGTACCTTTTCGCTATAGTGGAACTCCCTGAGGACCCTGTCGTAGTCCTTCTTGGTGACCCTGTCCGGATAGCAGGTGGCGCTCTTGATAAAAGCCTTAAGGGTGCGTTCGAGCAAAGCGTTTATCTCGCCGTAGTCGTAGTCGTCGTGACGTATGCCGAACAGGCACTGAATGTAGTACCAGATGGCGCGACGGAATCGGGTCGTGTCTACGTCCGTACGACTTCCCATCGTGTAGTAGGTTAGATTGTAGGCGGTTCTGAATTTGTCGTCCAGCAGGTTTCCAACGTCGTTGTACAGTCTGGAAAAATAAGCGTAATTAGGATGGTTTAGGCAAAGGGCCCGTTCACTTTCATTTTTGAATGTGAATTATTTATATATTTATAAAGATATTAAACTCTTTTGTCTGGTGGTACTTTTCCCGTTAAGATATTTTTGCTAGAAGTAAGGGAATTCCCATAAAATTCTTTCAGTGACTCATTGCGTCAGAAAACCCCTAATTCCCTTCAGGTCTTGTATCGGTTAATAGGGCGCGGTTGTCGGATGTATCATTGCACCACCATTCCTCTTCTGCATTTATTAAAGAAATTTACATGATAAAAATATATTATTTTTTAAAAATAATGTGTTTATATTTTCAGATAAAGCTGGAAGCCTTACCTTTTTTAAATTTTAATAAAAACAATTAGTATTACTCAAGCTGAATATTACCAGATCGAAATTTTATTTGAGAAAATGTATCTGGTAAACGTGACAACGTTGTAAGTGCTTCTAAATAGTGTTGTCTACACACACTTCTAGAAATAAATGCAACGTTGCCACGTTTACCAGATAAATATTGCAAATCAAATTTCTACTTTTTGATTATGGTCTGGTTAATTTTCAGCCTGAGTAATAATAATTGTTTTAAATAAAAAGTAAAAAATAAGGTACCAGCTTTAAAGGGGAAAATATAAGTTCATGATTTTTAGAAAAATAATGGAATTTTACTATTTAAATTACATATATAAATGCAGATGTGCTATATTAGGGATACTTCCGACAACCTCGCCGTCTTTAAGCATAACCGATACGAGACGTGAACGGAATTAGGGATTTTCTGACGCAATGAGTCACTGAAAGAATTTTATGGGAATTCCCTTACTTCTAACAAAAATATCTTAACGGGAAAAGTACCACCAGACAAAAGAGTTTAATATCTTTATAAATATATAATTAATTCACATTCAAAAATGAAAGTGAACGGGCCCAATATGACGTTCCATCGTTTTATTTGACGTCTGTTTGATAAGAGTAATTTGGAACATTAATAAAAGACTTGAATGCGTGGAAACTTAGAAGGAATGCTTTTTTTACAGTTTAAATTGTATTGTCAGTGATCTGGCAACATCGCGGATTTTGGTTCGGTATTTAGATTCTGTCACATGTCACAATGGATACAAATGACAGCCTTCTAGACAGGAAAAGGGAAACAATTGTTTTAAAACGGATAAGAATCAATAAAAAAGCGGTAAATTATTCGTTTCTAGTAATAAAACTTCAAATAAGGGCAATAATTTAAATTCGTTAAAAAGTTAAAAAGCACAAATAATGCGAAATAGTCAAAATCGCGAAAAATAGAGGAATTAATTAAAACCAAAATGGCGAAAAATGGAAAAGGGCTAAAAAATATGTTAATTATCATTCAAAACACGTAATTCTGATTAGAAAAATACTAGAAACAATAAAAATATAAGTAAAAATACGCAATGTTCTGCTTTCTATCGTTTCATTTGACGTCCGTTTGATAAGAGTCATATGTGTGAATAAAAGACTAGAATGCATGTAAACTTGAAAGGAATGTGTTTTTACAGTTCGAAATGTACTGTCAGTGATCTGGCAACATCGTGGATCTTGTTACGGAAATTAGATTCTATATGTCACAATGGATACAAGTAACAGCGCTCTAGACAAGAAAAGGGAAAAATATTCTTTAAAACATTAAGAAAATACTTAAAATGCATGTAAACAGAAAAGAAAATAGTAACTGAATCACAATCAAAAATCGTGGATAAATTTGGCATTTTTAAATGTACTATCAGTGTTGCGGCAACATCGCGGTTCTTGATGCGGTATTTCGATTCTGTTACGTGTCACAATGGATACAAATGACAGCCCTCTAGATAGAAAAAGAGAAAAATATCCTTGGAAACTTTGAGAAAAGACTTAAAATGCATGTAAAAGATAAATGAATTGTTAACTCTTAACTGATGCAGCTACATGCTAATCGAATCAAAACGAAAATACTTAAGATACATTTGACAGTTTTAAGTGTACTGTAATGATGTTGCAACATCGCGAATTTAAATTCTGTCACCTGTCACAATGAATACAAATGAAAGCGCTCTAGACAGGAAAAATGATTAATACTGATGATGCAACTAGTGTAGTAACCGAATCTTAAAGAAAAAACTTAGTTTCACTTTGTACTGTCAGTGGCCACAATTAGGTATTTAGATTGTGCAACATGCCACAAGGCTTTAGACAGGAAAATGCAAAATATCCTTACCTATTAACCAATGAGTACCCATGGTCGTCCCAGGAGTAATCCTGTACTCTAAACGTAGTGATATCATGCAAATCGTTTCTCTTAGCGAAATCTATGTACATAAAACTGGCATCTTCGACATAACAACTAATGTCCGCGGGAGCGCACTGCGGTTCGGATCCCACGGCTCCTATTTCTGCGGATTGCGTTTCGATGTTTTCGAAACGTTTGGCCAACTCTTCAGGTTTGCATTCTTGCTGCTGTTCGGATAGAGTCTTCATGCGTTGCATCAGGGTGTTGATGCCGACCTCCGGTTCCGTTGGTGATGGTGGTGTGGAGGCGGACTTCCAAACCGGAACTAGAATTAAACAATACTTTATATACGACTATAAAATTAAATATACATATATATTATGGAACGTAGGATCGTATTGAAGGTATTTGAAAGATTCCTATAAACTATGTCACTCACCTTCGACCGTTTCCACGATGGGTATGTCTTTGGGTTTAGTCTTACTATTACTATTCGTTTTGGTAGTAACGGTGCTATCACTAACAAATTGGTAACCTGCGGAGGCTAGTTGGTCCAATTCCTGATTCAAACCGCACGAAAATACGAAACTTGATAACGAGTGGAAATGGGCTAAAATCACAATGGCGTGGACTACTTCCGCAAGAGACCAACTGTCTTTGCCCTTGGTTAATTTCTGCAAAAAAATGAATTGTTAGAGATATCTTACAGTTCGCAATTTGTAACTATGTTCATTTTAGATGTATTTTTTTATAATGGGTTTGAATGAAGTTAAAACACCTATAATAACTGTTCCGTGAACATGAGTAACCAATCATCTAATGGCCATATCTTGAAGTTGGATACATGCTGATGTTGAAACACGAAACATCCAATGCTCCGTCTATCTATTCATGGTCAAAGAGGTACTTTATTTACTAACGACCTCTGGTAGACTTTTTAGAATTATGTATATTTTGGTGCCATATCTTTTGTTTTCTAATGCTACTTAAGATGTGAGCGAAGTTGAAACATCTATAATTGTCATATAGCGTAGGTTTGTTTTGGTTCTCGTTTGTAATCGTTCCAGAACCTTTGAAGCATGCGCAATAGATATCTACTGTTTTGGTTTCACCTATAGTAATTCCGAATCTGAATATTCTGTGTTTTGGTTTTTCTTGGAACCTTTCTCGAACTGGTTCTCTGGCCCAAAGCAAGAACTGTCTCAGAATTAATATTTTGGCGCTTGCGCTTTTTCGCAATTAGTTTTGTTGTTATCTCTGGCCATGTTTTGTATTGATATTTTTAAAAGGAAATTTCAAATGATGAATGAGAATGAGGCAGGTAATTAGTTGATGTTATAAGTTTATTTATGAATCAATTACTTTAATTATCTACGTTTTACAATATTGCATGGTTTCTTTTTTACTTAGACAGTAATCCTTTAATTCTTCTCTTTTATTTATCAATTTCTTTTTGATATTTAATTGTTCTGGCATTGTTTTGGTTGTTTTGGACTGTTCAGAATTAAGGACTATTGCGCATGGTTTTGGGACAATTTTCGAACCAGAACCAAAACAAACGTAACCTAATTGTTTATCTTATCACAATACGTTTTATTTATAGGTATAATTATTCTCAGTGTATTTTTTGTTTCTCCATGAGACCATCGACCATCAGAGTTTATTAAAAACTTAAACTCCACTTAATTTAATTACGGTATTAACCATTTGAAGAGATTAAATTTAATGAATGTTTTTTTAATATAATAAAAGTTTTCGGGGTCACGTACATTGTGAAAGCATTTTGAATGTTTAAAAAACGTACCTATTATATTTATTATCGCTGCATGCTTTATATAGAAAAACTTTTATCCCAAATAATAATGAGTCACCGATATTGTGATTAAAATAAATTTCCGATTATATTAATATAATGGGAAACGCAGAAAGCAAACAGTTTGGTTTATTGTTTACAAACAGGCGAGCCCGACGTTCAAATAATAAAGGTAGATAATGATAAATTACACTGAAACAGGCTATTTTTCGATGAATTAGTATTATTTTTCTCTGAATAGTGATTTAGAATAAATTAAAAAAAGAAAGCGTTTTATTAAATCGCATTTATTATAACTTATTAATTCAATATTTTTGAAAAAAATAATTATTTTTAAATCAAGTACTTTAAATCATACTTTACTTGTATTTACTCACATCGAACCGTCCCTAAATTTCAATTAAAAGCTTCGGGCTTAAATATTTGTATTTAAAACATTTTTTTGTTCTAAAATTTAAGATCATCAATCCATTTTTCGCAGTTATTAATAAAATGTGTATATAAATGAAAAAAATAAACTTACTTCAATATGAGATTTGTTTAATAACCAAGGCCTGTGGGCGAGAATCTTGTTGATGTCGTTGAGATTCCTCAATTTCGCAGGAATATGGTGTAATCCTTTCAGCCATTCGGGATCGCCCCTTTGCAGCAGGAATTCCTGCTTTTGTAGCGTTATTAGGTAGCTACATTGATGTCGGCCGGCGGCCTGTAACAAAACGAATTTCACAATAATTTCATGCTGTCGTCGAGTATCTACTAAAAAAATTCCGTGTCAAATCAAAATAAAATACTAAACAGGCTTTCTACAGACTTAACAGGACCTCTTTTGGTATTTAAAGCGTTTTGCAAATGAATATTTTAAATTACAAAACGAATAATGGCGTCAAGTGAACAGTTTTCAATCAAATATTAGTTTTAAAAATATGTTTTTATCTCTTTTTGTCTATTTTTATCTATTTTTATCTATTTTTTATCTATTTTTATCAATTTTTATCTATTTTTATCTATTTTTATCTATTTTTATCTATTTTTATCTATTTTTATCTATTTTTATCTATTTTTATCTATTTTTATCTATTTTTATCTATTTTTATCTATTTTCATCTATTTTTATCTATTTTTATCTATTTTTATCTATTTTTATCTATTTTTATCTATTTTTATCTATTTTTATCTATTTTATCTATTTTTATCTAATAAAACCAAAATAACGCTTGCCAACAGGCATTCAAGAAGCCTATAATGAAATTATAACATTTAAGCTTTGAAAGCCTATTTAATTTTTATAACCTACTAAATAGATAAACAGACAGACAGATAGACAGACAGATAGACAGACAGACAGACATACGGACGGAAGGACGGACGGACGGACGGACGGACAGACAGACAGACGGACGGACGGACGGACGGACGGACGGACGGACTGACAGACAGACAGACAGACAGACAGACAGACAGACAGACAGACAGACAGACAGACAGACAGACAGACAGACAGACAGACAGACAGACAGACAGACAGACAGACAGACAGACAGACAGACAGACAGACAGACAGACAGACAGACAGACAGACAGACAGACAGACAGACAGACAGACAGACAGACAGACAGACAGATAGATAGATAGATAGGATAGATGGAATACCGAGAATACAAAGAACTATGTGAATCTGCAGCGCATATAGAACAGTGTCGTCTGAGAGGCAGCAGGTGTATAAGCAGGAGTCACACCAATCAAATTTTGGAAGAAAGGACAAAAACTTATTAAGGTTTCTCAAAGAGAACCTGATGGAACAGTGGCAGGATTCGTGGAACCGGAGCAGTAAAGGAGGGTGGACTTGGAGGCTTATTCCTAGCATTGAAAACGGTGAATACTCGTAGAACATAAGGCGAGATGGACTACTGGCTCACCCAGGGCCCGACAGACCATGGATTTTTTAACTTACCTTTTTGAACGAAACCGAGCAGCAACCCACAGCTGTAGGTACTGTCAAGGAATAGATGACGCGGAACATACCCTGTTCATATATTCTAAAGGAAACATCATCGAAGACTCTTTGAAGATACAATGGGGCATACCTTTAATCCAGAAAATATGTCAGCCAGCCTACTGGATTCTGAAGCAGAATGGAAAGCAGCCTACAGTACAGTCCGATCGATTCTCCAGGCAACAGAGAAAGAAGGCAGAAACAAAGAAAATTAGATACCAAAGACAACATTCTTTTCCGAAGTAATCCAAGAGCGGTTCCAGAAAAGGAAGGTAGGGGTATGAGGTGAGGTATAGTGGGTAAACAGAGACCTGCACCTACAGAGCCCTGGAGTCCACACTCCATGTCGCGATAGATTTAAGATCAGATCCCAAGCGCAGGGGCCGGCATATAGTGTTACCCGACAAAAAAGAAAGGATAGATAGATAAATAGATCATTAGAGGGCCAAAACGTTCCAAAAAAGGGTACTTTTCAGCGTCATCAATTAACAGATGGCGCCCCGGTATGGCAAACTGTTATCAATAATAAGAAACTTCTATAAAGACTAATTAGGATTAATAGAAGAATGGCGATAAGAATATGTACCGCATATAGAACCATATCTGCAGATGGGGTAGGGGTCATCCCGCCGATAAAGTCCTTTATTCAAGAAAGAACAAGAAATTATCAAGGTGTTGACAAAGACACGTCTAAAGCCAACTTAATGTTATAACGGCAAGATATGTGGGATTCTAGTACGAAAGGTCGCTGGACATGGACACTTATTCCCAGCATTGAAAAATGGGTTAGACAACCGTTTGGAAAAGTTACGTTACCTGGACACGGATGTTTCAGAAAATATCTGTATGGCCGAAGAAGATCAGATTTAGACAATTGAAATTAGTATGATTTAAGCTAGCTGAAAAAGCAAGCACGATACCTTTTTAAGGAAAACGGGAGACATTTTCAACGCGAGAAACATGATGACGTGCCTGTTAAATTCGGAAAGAGGGTGGAATACTGCATATCAAGTGGTCCGTCATATCCTAGAAACAAAAAAGAGAGACACTAGATAGTAACTAAAACATCCCTTATACTGAAGTAATGCGAGAGCGGTTTCCGGTGCAATTGGAATAGTGAAGGTGGTGTTTTTAGTCCGTAAAAGTCCGGCACACTCAAAGAGAGTGTCCATGAGGATTTTAACCACCAGCGAACTAAAAAAAAGATAGATACATAGATGATAGATCGAATAATAGATAGAAATATAGATAGATAGGTAGATAGAATGACAGAAAGATAGACAAATAGATAGATACATAGATAAAAATGTGCATAGATTTGTTTATGTTGAAATTATCTATTATTCTATAATTTGTTGTGTTCCCTGTAAAGTTATTAGGTTAGGTTATGCCGAAAGCTTTAAACACCAAGAATATCAAAAACTAAAACCAAAAATATTCGTATTTGTCTACGATAGTATGACAGATGATAGTGACATCTGTCATCAACGTCATGGTAACTTTTTTCGTGTAGAAACAAATACATGTTATCAACTTTATTTTGACCCTATTTGGAATTTTATCTTAGTTGTTTTTTTAATAACTGAAAATGTTATTTGTGGATGCTAATACTTTTGAAAACCCACAAAATCAGTTTTAAACGAAATTAAACGGTAAGGGTTTATATTTTTACATGCATTTTATTCGCGCCAGTTTTCACGTAAACCCATCCTTAACGACTAGCGGTGCAAATAGCCCTTAAAGACATTGTTTGTGATATTAAAACGTAGATAGTAAGTAGATCTCGTTTAGCCCAAAGATTTTTTTAATTCAAAAAGTCATTTAGACCGGTTTAGTGTGTTGTTATCTGTATAAAGATTGTTTGTACCTTTAAAGAGACAATAACGGTTCAACAATCAATTTAAAAATCTTTAAATGGCAAATCGTCAAGATAATAATTCAATGTCATAATAATAGCGTAATGGTTACGAGTGCTTTGAATATTGTTTAAATTATCTAGATTGACCTTTCCAAGAAAAACTACGTTAAAATATCAACTTATTCAGATGTAGTCATTATCAGCATCAGTTTGTTCAAGAGAAAACATATCAGAAATTTTTAAATTATGTGACGCAATTCTAAAATGATTTACCATTTTTATATAACTTTGGTCTTCTGATAAAAGATTTAATCGCAGGATTTATCAGTAAAGAACTTTAGCCATAATAGATTACGAAATTTTCGATATTATGCACGTGGTTGAATCATTTTTGAAAACAAAAATAACCTCCGATCTACATAACAGCAATTAGTATATGCTTTGGATATTACTGGTTTGATGGGATAAATCATGTTTATTTATATATAACAATGTTGTTCTTTAGGTTTAAAATAAATTCCGATGAAGAATTTTGTTGTTTTTATGGTATATTTAAAAATATTCGCGAATAAATCTTAATTTAGAGAAAGCCTGTAGCAACAACGCTTTATTATTATTTATGGACCTAAATGTTGTAATTAAACTTTAGCGTATTTATTTTTTGTCTGTTTATTCTTTCTTTAAAAAAATGATGCATGCGTTATAAAACAGGAAAGGAAAGAAATTAATTGCACACGATCGAGACTAGCACATCCAGCGATGCGACGGGATCGCGATTGCCTAATGTTTTCCCACCTTTAGAAGCCTGTAAAGAACTTGTTGCCTCCTCTACACAGGGCCTTTTTTATCATTGAGAGCCCAAAATAGAGAACATAAAATCGGAAAAATGCACAAACGAAATAAAAATGCGCAAGAGAAAATAGCTTTTTCATAAAGGACTTGCACAACATGTTATTTTATGTAATTAAAACAGAATTAAATGAGAATAAAATCGTATGAATGTGTATTGATTTCTTTTTTACTGAACTTATCAGATGAAGGTTTTTAAGAGTATTTTTACAACATTAACTTATTTAGTGGAGGAACTTGTGCAATTTAAAGATATTTGTAAATAGAAGATGACCAAAAATAAAGTTGACAACACGTATTTGTTTCTACAGAGTATTGTTGGTTTTTAAAGCTTTCGGTCAAACTTATTTAACCTAACCTAACAAAAATGTACATAGAAACTAAACTTTCTAAAGGGAACACAACAAATTTGAGATAGATTCAGCATAAACAAAGCACATCACAAATCTAAGCACATTTAAAGTATTAACAATATTGATACAGAAAATGTTGTTATTAATTTACACCAATATTTTATCTACTTTTTCAAATATTGAATTATTGTTGCTTTTATATTTAACAGTTCCTGTAAGTAATGCATCTACCCAGAAATCATTTTCTACGTTAAAACGAGTAAAATCATAATTGCATAACTCACTAAATAAATACAATCTTTCATTCTTAGCGAATGTTGAAATATATATTCTAGATTTGTTAAACATAAATATGTAATAACTTTTTCGAACATAAATTTCGTAAAAAATATGTTAGATAATTCAATTATATGTTAGCTTATTTTATAAATATTCTTTGTGCAGTCTTTCCTATTCGACAATGACATCAAACAATATACCAATTATGACATTGGATATTATTTATGAGTTAGGAACTACGGAATTATTCCTGATACAGTATCAGTTATTAATGTATACATATTCGACTATGAGAACGAACAATATACCAATTATGACATTGGATATGGGTTAAAATCTCATGATTATAGATCCTTTGCTGGTCTAATTTGAGAAGTTGTTTAGTTTTAAAACAAATTGCATATTATGTTGTTTTATAGTTTTATGTTTTTTAAATAGAATATTTTATACTTTGTTTTGCTTATTAGGTCTTCGAGATTCTAGGTACTTCTTTACACTTGAATATACGGGGCCCGAAAATTGTAAATGGCCTTTGAGAGAGTAAACTACATGTACAATGGATAGTTTTCAACTACCTATAATAAAATACTTAATGGGAAAGTGATATAGTACAGGTTTCCAATATTGGGGTGATAGTCTGCACCCATGTAGGAATCCAAATTACCTAGGAAATTGGTACATTAATCGAAAAGGAAAACCTACTCTTAATGTGCAAGCTACTTATGACGCCAAAGAAAAATGTACTAGTGTTGACATTAGCTGGCCTAGAACTGTGCACGATGCTAGAATATGCAAAAGTAAATTAATATTTTTTTAGAATTAGTCTCATCTCTATCTTTATCTTTGTTGGTTATAAGCATGTAGGGTTAGGTTTGGCCCAGAACACTGCGGCCTCTTGGGTCTATTGTATTCCTCTGCTTTCCCCGTATTCAGGTACTATCTTTGGAATAGCCCTGCGTCTTTGGTTAGTTTTAATAAATTCTCTACCAAGTGTTCTTGGGGCGTTCTATCCGGTTCTAGGCCAATAAGGATGAAACGTCGCCTAGCAAGAGCTTTGCATTCGAAGATCACATGGTATAAGGTTTCTTCCTCTTCCATGCAGAGTCCACACGTAGTGGGATCATTATGTAATCCCATCACATGAAGGTGTTTCAGCAAGCAGTGCCCCGTTAGTAATCCCACAATGGTGGATATCTGAGGCCTTGCAAGTTGTAGTGCCTCAGTAGCCATGCGTGAGTTTGGTCCCCTTATTATGAGCTTACTGATTAGGTGCCCTCTTATCTGTTGCCTGTGAATTTGGTGTTTTATGGTTCACTGCCTGTCGAGCAGAGGTTTTGCTTATCCCAAAAACAGGTTTGGGTCCTGTGAATGGTAGATCTGATCCCTCTTTGGCGAGTTTATCAGCCTTTTCATTTCCTTGAATATCTTTGTACCCTGGTACCCACGCTTGTTTTACCTTGTTGTGGGTTGCCAGATCATTAAATATTCCAAGGTAGTTCCAGATAAGATTTGATTCTGATTGAATCAAGAATCTTTAAGGCTGCTTGGCTATCCGAAAGAATTAGGATGGTTTGTTTTTTGTACTTCCCTCTTAAATAATTTCGTACACACAATTCGATTGCATGTATTTCACCCTGAAATACAGTGGTATGTTTTCCCAGTTGTAGTTAACCTGGAAGAGTCTGTTGAAAGTTAGGAGGGGTGTAATGTGATTTGATCCCATGTTTAATATAGAATCAGTTACTTCATGTGTTATTCTGGTGTTTCATATGTCCCAGTGAGTTCCAGTTGTTGGAGATTTTCAGTCTGTATGCATTCATTCAGAGGGGCACTCCGTATCAAATTGCAATGAAGAGAACGAAAGAGAAAGGGAAGAGAAAAAATCTCCTCTCTTTTTTTCCGTATCGAAATTTGTAGCAATGTCTTTATTTAATTCGGAGTGAATCGGGAGTTTTCGTCGCGAAGAGAAATTTCTAAAATAACGAACTACTCGTCCTAAAACTGTTGGCTTCACTTCTATTTGACACATTATAATAAAAAAAGAAACCTAATTTTTTACATAAATTTGGATTTGTTTTGAACGTGGAATTTCTTAAAATAGTATTACGCCATTGATTATTCTGGATTAAAGTTCCTTTTCGACTGCTTTTTAATATTTTTATTTACCACTAATTCAAAGAGACCCTGTGTTCAAAGGTAAGTGGAGAAAATAAAAGTGATTTCAGATTATACCAGTAATTTGACTTTTTATTTAATGAAAACAAGTTTATAATTTATATAATTTGGGTATAATAGTTATATTTTAACTTTAAGATGAATCCTATCATAAGACATGTGATGCAAGAAGCCCAAAATAATCAACAATAATATGAACTATGCATTGCTAAAAGGGTAATGAGGGATGCAAGTGATCCATTCGGCCTTCCTGACGTTAGATTCAAAGAATTATTTAGACTAAATAAAGATTTAGTTTAAAATTTGTTTATTGATTAATTAAAAACTGACAATCCACATAAAAATAAAGTAAACTTAAAATGTCAAAACAAAACTGCCAATTCGTTCTTAATATAAAAAAAGAAATAGTTATACCCCTTCCATACATTAAAGCGAGACATAATTTTAAGCGACGAGGTTTTAGCGATCTCTTTCCCAGTGACAATCGTACATGTTCGGTTTAATCGTAAGTAGTCGAAGAGAGTTACAGAGTAGAAAAACGTCAAAAGAAGTCGGGATAGAGAAAAGCTCTCTTGCCTTCCTCATATTTCTAGTTACGGAGTGCCGCTCCTGGGCCTCCCTCTTTATGACTAGGTCAAGGGATGAGATGTTTAGAATAAGAGGGTAATGAGAGCTGTTTTCTGGTTTACTTTTGGCCACCAAACAACCGCTACATAAGTTATCATGGGTCTTGTTATTGCCAAATATAGCCAGTAGACCATTTTTGGTTTTAATCTCCATGTTTTTCCAAATGCCCGTCTCCCTACAATGAGAGATATTTTACATTTGTTGGTCACTTTTTGTAAGTGTTGGTTTCAAGTAAGTTTGCTATCTAGGATTAGACCCAGATATTTTACTTGGTTCGTTTTGTTTAGCCTTCCTCCAGAATCGGAGTTTCTAACACCTACAACCTTGTTTTCCGAGTATAAGTTATTAGTTGTGCCTTGTCAGGGTTTACCAAGAGGTTTTCCCTAACGCACCACATTTCTGTCAGCCTAAAAGCTCTTTGCATGAGTTCAAAGACTGTGGTTTGGTGTTTCCCTCGGATACGGATGGTTATGTCATCGGCATATCCTTGGACGTACAGCACTTGATTGTTCAGTATTTTCAGCAGATCATCTGCCACTAGGTTCTACAGTAGAGGAGAAAGGACTCCACCCAGTGGGCATCCTCTGTGGATATTCACCTGCATGGTTTCACTGAACATTTGTGCCTATACTTGCCGTCCGTGTAACATGTCTTCTATCCGCCAACAGATCGTGTCCTCTATCCTACGTTTGCGAGCGGCAGCTACTATTGATTTAAAGGAGGTATTATCAAAAGCTCCTTATGTCAAGAACTGCTCCTAGGACTATTTCTTGGCTACTGAGTCCCCTTCTATCTTGGTTACGAGATGAAGCAGAGCAGTCTCTCAAGATTAGTCCTATGTTAAGAAGCAAGGAAAATATTGTACTATTTCGTGGGACAACACAATCTATGAGTGAAAATAATCTGCGCCTGATCTAAACTAACACTTTGGTATCTTTGGATAGGTAAATAGACGATTTGACCAGTCAAAAGGTGGAATTAATATATCATCCTTCATATAGTCCGGATTTGTCCTAATGATGTCTTTATGTTTTAGAAAATTAAAGATAAAATGCGTGGTCAACAATTTTCTAAACCAGATGATGCAGTTAAAGCATTTAAACATGAAGTTATAATAGTTTTGTCTTCTTCTGTACCGAAATTTTAGCAGCAACCCTTGTGTTTTTCTATTAACGTTAATATTATGGGAAAATATCTATGCACTTACCATGATTGCAATATAATGCCTATGATCGTAAGGTAGTGGTCCATCACCTCTGAGGATGAAATTTTGAGTCTTTAAAAAGTGGTCCAAATATGTTTTATGATATCCCATAACTTGACTAACGTGGTCCAAACGGTTGTTTTGTAAAAAGGCATCCACGAAGAGGGTATGGGTCTGTAACAAAAAAAAAAAAATTATAACCTTATATTTCATTGAAATATTATATGGATGATTATGTGCTTTACTTGGTATTCAGTATGTGTTTTCTAAGTCATAAAATTTAGTATATTATTTAAACAAAATGGTTGCCTGTATGCATTGCATTGATATGGCAAACCTGTGGGCTTGGTGGATTTGAGAGGGTCAATGATATAAATAGGTATATAGATTGATCATCCTTGTTTACAGAATGCCTTGAAGTAAACATGTAGCTAATTATTTTTTCACTATATTCAAAGGCCGAAAATTGGTTTTAAAACACATTTTTGTTAAACCGATTCTGATTGATAAGCACTTGCAAGGCAATATGGCCGCTCGCAATGCGGCCCGCTTTGAACAATCTATATGACTTTTTATATCATTGACCATATCAAAGCCACCAGGTCCGCAGGGTTGCCCACAGGCAGCAGTTTAACAGGTCGTTGGAATGCCGAATTGTGGTAATTCTGGTGACGTCACAGATACCGTGCTAACGTAATATTTGTCATTGTCATATGTCAAAGTTGATTTAAGTTGAGGGATTTTTAAACGCAATTTTAATTATATAAAATTTGTTTCAAATAAAAAAAGGTTTAGTAAGTTTTATTTGTGATGAAATAACAACCTGTTGATTTATCTTTATACTTTAATATAAATAACAGTATACGGTTGATGACTCCATCTTTGGAATAAGATTAAATTATTCCTACTCCTTTATTTAATGAAAAATTGATAGATTTATGTTAAGATTGTAACTTTTTCCAGTGCTTTACAATTAAACAAAAAAGTCAACAGCTTATTCTTATTAAATCACCATTTTTAAGTGCAACTGTTCTCATAAAGAACTATTTTAATCTTCAGTGTACAGTATTTTAAATGTACTTTCTTTCATTGGAAATACAAATGAGTCCAAACAAATAAAACAAATCCTATACACAGTAAAATTTCTCTCTTCACAATTATTTTCGCATGTTTCATATGTTTACTTGTGCACCTTTCCACTTAACCACCGAGGTTAAAGAGCACCCGATTAAAGGAGATACCATTGCGTGACGTCCACTGTTGTCGCTCGCCTTGGTACCATCGCTTTTGAGTAGTGAAATTACTTGTGATTACTAATCGCATCAAGAACTAATCGTACCTATACGCCACTGGTTTGAAACGGTGACGTCGATGCATGAAGTGTAATATAATGGAATCTTTTTTATTCGGGTTCGCTATATATACTTTTGCAACATATAATGTCATGGAAGTAACCAAATTGTATAAAAAAATGATCTGGTAATATAAAGTTATGGTAAGCTTACAAAGAAATGCTTATAGTTTATTTTCGTGACTAACAACATTAATAAAAACTATACGCTGTCTTGCTTAATACGCCAATTACTATTATTAGGAAGTTTCATATAAAGAAGAAGTTCGTATGCACAAATTTTCGAAAGATATGAAAATAAATACACACTGCCCAAAGGAATCAATTCAATTAATTGGATATTATATACGAGCTCATCATCGAATACTTAACGGAGTGTATATAATACCATTAGCAGGGAGTGTCTATCGCCCGAAGACTTCGATTCAAAACAGAGAAACGCATTGAATAGTTTTTTTTTCAACGGTAGATTGTAATAGTAATGCAATCATGTCGGTTATATTTCATTTTAAATTGCCGGCAGAGTGTAATAGTAATGAGATTCGTTAAAATACGTTATTGATAAAATGATGTACCTATAAGGAGGATATAAAACGAGAATAAAACTGGAATATAACTGGAAAGTTTTTTTTTTATTAAAGTTAAAGTAGTAGATATATTAGTAATGCTTTTAAAGTAACACCACCAGCGATATAGGCTGCATGGTTCTAATACAGGGTGATTCTTATATTCAGAGCAATTTGGTTGAAAATGATTTCAAGAATCCACAAAATTGTTGATTAGAATATGAAATTATCAATTTAAAACTTATAGGACTTAAATTATTTCAATATGTATGAAGAACATCCATCTTCAGTACAAATTCTCAAAATGACAAATGTTGATTTATATTTTAAGGAAATTTAGAATAAATCAAGAACTAAAAATGTTATTTTAACCTTTGCATATTCTTAACTCAACTTAAATCATAATTAATTTAACCCAACTGGAGAGTCCAGCACATCCTGAAGCTCAGCGAGAAGTGGGAGGTCTTGAGCAGGGGTGCCACCCAAATGTAATCGGACACATGAGACTGACACCCAAAACTTGGAACCATCTCTAAGACCCAAATTTAAGGTGGTATTGATTCACTGTTGCTGTTTGTTTCAAGTTTATTTGGAGCCTGATCAGGGCGTTAAGTTGGTTCTATTCGGTTTTGATGCCAGGGTTGTGGGTATTGTCTATACAATCGGTGTTTTTCATGCACTGTGCAAAATTATTTAGATATATTACAAATAGAAGTGGCCCCGAAACCGATCCCTGTAGGACATCCCTATATTAATAGACTCTGAATTTGAGAGGCCGTGTTTATAAAATATTGACTACGGATTTTTAAAATGTATATTACCTCTATTAGCAAGATCTAACAGAGATTTGGGTTGTCTATAAAATTAAACCACTGTTTCATCTAGCGCGACTGTGTGCCCGGGTTTGTTCGTTGTTCGATCATGGGGTGACTTGGAAGCGATTTGCCTGGTCATATTAGTCACTTTTTTACCACTAATCTGAGCTAATTTACATCGACTAAGCTTAGTTGTACGTTTTTTTTTTGTGATTGTAAGTCAGCATCTTTCTTCCCCCCTTTCCGATGCTAAGGTACACGGATCTTGACGTCAACCATAAACCATAACAGGAACTAAGTATTCTGTGCATCATACGAACAAACATATCCTATGCATTCATTATTTTTAGAGATATTAAAACACTAGATAACAGGGGGCAAGATCGTAGTGTTGAATGTTGAAGAAATTATAAAATTGATAAAAATGTCGATTGTTTTTAAACAGATGACATGACACGTCGCCTGTCAACTAAACTTCGCGTTTTAGCTAGACAATCAAGTATACCTGTAAAAAGAAAACGACTAATATGTCCGCCCATGTGCAGTTCACTAGATTTTAACAGATTTGAGATAATTTCTAAAATTTTTATAAGGAGTATTGTCATTGACGTCTTTATTATGCCATAAGATTGTATGTTACCGTCAGCAAATAAAGTGAAACTTCATGACATTCCTAAATAGAAATTAGTAGGTGAATCACCTGCATCTGATCCATTTTGAGTCTGTATTTTTATTTCTATTATTATGATTGTTACAAACGCAATATTTGTCTGGCATTGAAAAAAAGGAATAACAACTTCGTCTCGGACCTGTGTCGCACGTGTGTGTACCGTAAATTATGCTGAAAGTATATCTGCAGTAATATACTCGAAGTGAATAATAAATTATGTATGAAGCTTGTTTTTCTAGTATTTTGCATGCAGGCCGCGACGGCACCGACTTGTCAACTTGTTGCGTCATTGTTCGGGCGCGTAATTTTAATAATTCAACAGAAAGGATTTGGCCGCGTTCGCGCGATGGTTCGGAGCAGCTCCGAGCACCCTTCTTTCTTCGTCGATATATTATTTATTCATTCTTCGAACATGATCGAATTAATAAATCGTAATGATGAGGTTGGTTAACAGGTGGGAAAGAGATTTATTTATTCACGTTGAATTTTTCCCTGTAATAATGCATACTAACATTATTTCTATCACTGCTGTATAAAGATCTTATTAACCTTTATTTTCCACATAAGAAAATTAAGTATAGTAAATCATCTATTATGTGGTTTACAGATGAATTGAAGCAAAATAGGAACCCTATTATAATTTTTTTAAATTAGATCTCTTGTTTAAACTTAAACGAATGTTTATAAATCAAGGTAAAAAAAGTCGAAAATATATGAATCGGTCATTTTGAAAAGGGGTCACATCCACTTTTTAAAATTTTACAGGAGAGATAAAAAACCTTTTATCTTGAATACTATTTGAAAATAATCTTTAATAAGGTATTATTTTTTTTTAAACATGAACTTTTATTTCCATGAATTATTAAAAAACATGATTTGTATTCTAAAAGGGGTTAAAAATTGACATTTTTTGAAAAAGATATGGCCCGTTTTCAAAATGAACAAGTATTTAAAATCAAAATAGAATATAAATATTGTTTAATTTAAACAAGTGGTATAAAATACATTTTAATACATAAAACAAGATCTTTTATTTTCCTCCCTTTCTTCAGCGGTGGTAGTGCTGTTCGCAGATAGTGATGTAAAATTCCTTGTATTTATCTGGAATATATTATTGCTGAAGCTTCTTTATATCCTCAATTTTCTTAACATTTATCGGAATTTTCTCTTGATAGGCAGGAACATTCTAAGGATCGGGCACCACTATTGTCGGAATGTTTTCGTTGTAGAGTTTTCAAAAGAAGATAACGTTCCTCAACAAAGCTGCCAATGTGCAAAGACGACACCTAAATTTTCCGAGTTAAAGCTGAATTCATAGAAGAAGTTGATAGTGAAATTAACCTTCTCTTGTTTTCGAACTTGTTTGCCAAGACTTCGTATAGACAACACTTTCTTCTTAAAGAAATCGGGCCACCACTGTTCGAAACCAGCTACATCTACGTGAGTAACATGTCTAACGTCGAATTTATTTCTTCTAGATGAAGAAACTGTTAGGTCTTTATATTCTCCTACAGAGAAAATCCGGTCGACGAATTTTTCTTTTTACTGTGCCAAAATCCCTGTCACAATTAATGAATGAGTGACCTCATTGCGGAAAGCAAATGGTGATTTTCTGGAACTTTTCGTTACCAGAGCAAAAAGAAATCGTATCATGGTGACCAGGACATCCGTTACAAAATAGATGCAGTTCTTCGATATTTTCTGAAATTTTATTGTTAATGTAGCCATTTAAAAAAGAGAAAACTTTGTCAGGGCCTTTGTGTCCTTCGCTTTCGT